AATACCCCCGTATGCGCCTCTTCCCCCCTCAGGTACATCGTGTTCGAGGGCGAGGAGGGCCAGGACGCGGGGGGCCTCCTGCGGGAGTGGTACATGATCATCTCGCGGGAGATGTTCAACCCCATGTACGCCCTGTTCCGCACCTCGCCGGGTGACAGGGTCACCTACACCATCAACCCCTCCTCCCACTGCAACCCCAACCACCTCAGCTACTTCAAGTTTGTGGGGCGCATTGTGGCCAAGGCCGTCTACGACAACCGTCTCCTCGAGTGTTATTTCACCCGTTCCTTCTACAAGCACATCCTGGGCAAGTCTGTCCGGTAAGAGACGGGGTGGTGAACCGCCTCGCGGGGTGGTGAACCCCCTCAGAGGGTGTTAAACCCCCTTTTTGGGGTGTTGAACCACCCTCATGGGGTGGTGAACCTCATGGTGGGGTGGAGAATGCCCCTCGTGGTGGTGAGCCCCTTTCTTGGGGTGCTGAACCACCCTCATGGGGTGTAGAACACCCTCAGGGGGTGTTGAACCTCCTGGTGAGGTGTTGCACTCCCCTCACAGGGTGTTGAACACCCTTTTTGGGGTACTGAACCTCCTGGTGAGGTGTGGAACCCCCCCCTTACGGGATGTTAACACCCTTTTTGGGGTGTTGAACCACCTTCACAGGGTGTTGAACCACCCTCGTGGGGTGTTGAGCCTCCTTTTTGGGGTGTTGAGCCACCCTCATGGGGTGTAGAACACCCCCAGGAGTGTTGAACCTCCTCGTGGGGTGTTAAACCCCCCTCACAGGTTGTTGAACCCCCTTTTTGATGTGTAGAACCCCCCCTCCCGGTGCGTAGAACCCCCTCACGGGTTGTTGAACCCCTTTGCAACGTCTTGAACCTCCTGGTGGGGCGGTCAAGCCCCTTTTTTGGGGTGTTGAACCCCCTTTTTGGGGTGGCGAACCCCCAGATGTGGTGCTGACCCCCCCAACCCGCGGCGCAGGTACACGGACATGGAGAGCGAGGACTACCACTTCTACCAGGGCCTGGTCTACCTGTTGGAGAACGACGTCTCCACCCTGGGCTACGACCTCACCTTCAGCACCGAGGTGCGTGTCACCCCCACGAGGACACCCTCAGGGGACCGGGGACACCCTAAAAATAGGGTATCGGGGTCCCCTCGCACCCCAAATCTCCCCACGGTTGCCCCAGCGCTGCTCCTGGGGAGGGGTCCTTCTGCTCTGGGGGTGTCCCCTCTGTCCCGGGGGTGTCCCCCGTGTCCCATGGGTGTCCCCCCTGCTCTGGGGGTGTCCCATGGGTGTCCCCTCACCCTGCCCACCCTGGGGGTGTCCCCCCCGCCCCGGTGACACCCCGTGTGTGTCGTCCCCGCCCCTCCAGGTGCAGGAGTTTGGGGTGTGCGAGGTGCGGGACCTGAAGCCCAACGGGGCCAACGTGCTGGTGACGGAGGAGAACAAGAAGGAGTACGTCCACCTCGTCTGCCAGATGCGCATGACCGGTGAGCGCCCGGCGGGTTTGGGGGTACCCGGGGGGGGGGGGGGCGCCAACACCCCCCGACACCCCCGCGGACCCCCCCAAATACCCCCAG